AAAATTCTAAAAAATTCTAAAAAATCCCAACAAATTGGGCAGGCTCTTGAGCATGCGCAATAGATAAAAATTCTAAATTATTTCTAAAAAACTCTAGTTCAATTCTGAAAAATACTGAATAATTCTAGAAATTGCTAAAAAATACTAAAAAATGCAAAAAAAATACTGATAATTCTGAAAAATTCTAAAAATCAGTTTTTACAGGGTGATCTATTATAAATGTCGACCCTGCTAACTTTATCATTTGACGTTTTTGACAGAAGTGTCAACTGTCAAATACAAAAGTTTTAAGAAATTATCATTTTTTTTAACTAAGGCCACGTTCCGTAAGTTAACCAAGATTCTTGGTTTTTCCGGTTCCCGTTCCGTAACCTAACCACTCCCGAAATCTGTAAGGTAATGAAACGCGGTTCCACATATAAACCGCATTCTCAGGAGCCAGACTGTCACCATAGACGAACCGCTCCATACCAATCGGTAACTCTGGTTAAGATACGGAACGCCGCCTAAGTTAGTTTTAGGCATACAGGGTGCGTCAAAAAAGTGCAGCAGTAAGAAGTTATATTTTTTTAAATGGAACACCCTGTATATTGTGCGCTTATTTGTTAGTCCCGTTACCAGTTCCAGCACCATACCAGATAATATGATTTCAACGATATACGGTTTGATGTTTATCTCTCTGTTTATCTTCAATAGTTATAGGGAAAAACGCGAAAATCCCTTGCTAGTTCTCTCATGTTATTTTTTCAAAAATAATAATAATAACTGGATTTATTATAATATAATATTTCACCTTGTATATTAATGAATAAAATTTGAGCAATAAACTGTTCATAAAAAAAATTCTCTAAAGCTTAAATGGTATAATTTTTCTTTTTTCAATATGAAACCTTGATAGCAGTTTTCATGTTTTTCCTTATAAATATCGAAGATAGACATCAAATCGTATATTGTTGAAATCATGTTAAAAGGGACTAACAAATAAGCGCACAATATGCAGGGTGTTCCATTTAAAAAAATATAACTTCACACTGCTTTTTTGACACACCCTGTATGTCTAAAACTGACTTGGTTAAAAACTTTCGACAATTTATTGAAACTTTTGTATTTGACACTTTTGTCAAAAATGTCAAATGAAAAAGGGGTGACATTTATAATAGATCACCCTGTACACCAAAATTCTAAAAAGGTTTCCCGCTCGAGGGAATCCACCTACCTAATTTTTTACACCAAAAATAATTCCAAAATTCTGAAAAATGCTAATTCTCGAAAAATTCTAAAAATTCAAAAAAAAATCCAAAAATCCCAACAGATTGCGCAGTGCGCAGGCTCTTAAGCATGCGCAATAGGTGGAAATTCTAAATTATTTCTAAAAAATTCTAATTCAATTCTAAACAATACTAAAAAATTCAAAATAATTCTAGAAAATGCTAGAAAATACTAAAAAATGCTAAAAAATACTGATAATTCTAAAAAATTCTAAGAAATTCTAAAAAATTCTATCAGTTTGTACACCAAAATTCTAAGGTGGTTTCCCCCTCGGGAAATGTTTTTCCTTGTGTTTTCGAGAAAATTCCATAACCTCATTTGAGACTATCGCCGGTAAGTTTGGTTTTGCAAATTTATCTAAGGCATCCTGCCTAATTTAACCTTGTATCTATTATAGCTTAAAGTGCATTTGGACGGCCTGGGAGATACCCTCTTTCAATATTTTCGTGGTTCAGCCACTCATTTTTTGTCCAGATCCTTGATTTTCAAGGTAAGCTTGCTTCGGCTATGATATTCGGATATTCCTTTAAATCACCATGCAAGGGTTGCTGTAAAATATAAATGTAATTATTAGGATCGATCTACCGAGGGGCCCCAACTTTAGTGGTGCCAGTCACCGAAAACCACAACACTTTGCCTACGTGAGTATGCAGCTCGCAGCCTCCCGCACCTTATTGCATTTCTTCAAGGTGGCTCTTGTGAGGGTTTTTTAATTGAACTCACCCTAGCTCAATTCGCAGAACATTGATCTAGTATCCTGAAGGACATGGATTGAACAGGTTTTTTTATATTTATAAGTTTAACTTTATATCTTGAAATCCTTGGATTTAAGTATTAAACTTCGGTCCTGATCAGGCCAAGGGTTATTTTGTACTGCTACATTGCACAGGGAGCAATGAATTATTAGGGAAATTTCAGCTCTTTTTTAGTTATAAGGATTTGGGGAAAATTTCAGCTTTTTAGGTTTTAGAGATTTATCGAGGGATATTTTTTTGCACTCAGGCTTTAAAAAACATCAAAGCTTCAATTTAATAAACAAAAATGCACTCATTTTTGTTTATTAAATTGAAGCTTGACAATTATTTCTGGATTACCTCTTTCTCAGATTTTAGTCTAAGAGCCAGCGCCGAAAAAATTCTCTGAATTTACTAAAGCTAGTTTTTGGACAGTTGATTACAGTATTTACGTACATAAACATACCGCGGTCAGTCAAGCGAAACTTGGGACAAGGACCCAGGGTGTCTTGTTAGGGCCGGTTCAACAATGCTAGTATAAATCTCAGTATTGTAATACCCCGAATATCTTATACCTTGATTTATCCCGAGTATATCTGACCGCCGGTTCGACAATAATTTTACAAGAGCCGTATAGTTATTCCGAGATTATCCGAGAAACGTGAAGTTAGTTACTCGAGGCAACCATTTTTTTGACAGATGCCGGTAAAATAGCAAGGGTTTAAGAAATGAGTTGTGAACTGAACCTACCTTTTTTGTTTTTGTTTATATTAATTTATTTGTGTTTGCGTCGTGTTTGCACTATGGAAAGACATGACTTATATTTTGGAATTTTGTATAATTTGTATTCGTATTATGGTAATTTTAGGTATTGAATTGTAAACCCAAGTATATACACCCTTTCAGCTTAGGTATAGAATAATTAATTAACATAAACTAGGTTTTTTGGATTTTCTCAGAAAAAAAATCATGATACCTTCTTACAAAGTTTCTACTTACTTATTAATTACCAATTTTAAAATTTAAAATAGTTTTTAGGTTATTATGCACGTTGACAAACGGAAAAACCGACAAACACTAACAGCTGATTATCAGTCAGCACAGATAATCACGCTCAACCGCGACCAATAGAAAGACAGTATAACTTTATTCCGAGTATATACGGTCGAGGACGGCCGGATAACTTATACCCTAATTTATTCTCCGAATATCGTTATACGGCAATTGTCGAACCCAATAATGAATTTTCATTCTAGGTATAGCCTATACTAGGGATATACCTGAATTGTCGACCCGGCCTGTTAGAGGTGTCGAGATAACTTGGGTAATGCAACGAATTTACTAAAGCTGAACATCGTTATACATATTATATCTAACATATAAATAACAGTAGTGTTAGTCAGTCACTTGAATAGCGGGACCGTCAGTCAGTCATCCTCAATAAATGTAAAAATCTGCAAAAAATATTAATATTACTGAACAAACCTATTAATTTAAACTTCAACCTACAATTTTGAATTGTCACTGTCACGCTGTCACTCTAAAAAAAAATAGATGACCTATTATTTTTTTACATAAATTGGGACTGAACCGGCTGAACTAACTCAATGGGGCTGAACAGAGATAAATACTATATAAACTGTCGAGAATGGAATCTCAGTGTAAATTTTGTTGTCAACAAAATTGAGCCAAGCCAGCGCCATCTACCACATCGGAAAATCACTATTTACTGGTTTTGCATCGATGCTACAGACACCTACTTTACATAGGACTTTTTATGATAGATGGCACCCTGTTCGCATTAGTGTCGGTCTGTTCAAATTCGTTTATTCTAGACTTTGGGGCATTAATGTTTGCCTAAATTAATTGATAATTTGTTAATTAGATCAAAAGACAGTTTCTTTATCGATGGTTAAGGGATCCTTAACATATTTATTCAAAGTTCTGATTGATGTTTAATTGATCCTGTCATTTATCTAATCAACAAAGATAAAAATAGATCTTCCAATCTATAAAGTTTGAAGTTCTTCTTGAAACACACAAAACAACTTTGAAATCACTTAAGAACACTTGACAACACAAAGAAAGATGAAATGCAAGACCGGCGAAAAAAAACATTATGAATTATTAGTTATGATCAAATGAATATTTTGGCATATTGTCATATGTTGACATGTCAATCTCATGTCAATGTTATCGACATCGGACGTGTTCTTGATGTACTGGTATTTTCCAATTTTGACAATTCTGTGGTTGTTAGCGACATCTAGAAAAACGGAAAAGAGTTATTATGTGGTTTATAACTGGCAATGAGAGATCGCAGGGCCTGGGGCTGAATGACCGGCCCAGTTCCGCTACTCAACTGACTGACAAATATCACTGTTATTTATGTGTTATATGTAATATGTAGGTATAGCGATTTTCAGCCTTAGTAAATTCGTTGCATTACCAATGACAACTTTAACCAGACACCCTGGGTCCTTGTCCCAAGTTTCGCTTGACTGACCGAGGTATGTTTATGTACGTAAATACTGTAATCAACTGACCAAAAACTAGCTTTAGTAAATTCAGAGAATTTTTTCGGCGCTGGCTCTCCGGCTATTTTACATTTTTTTGATAAAATTCACTTGAGGATTTGTAACTTAAAAATTAAATCTTCTGGCGCCCACTATAGACACTCCTTACTCACCCTAATATTGCTCTCTGGCGAACAGCGGCCCCTGTAGTATACTTTTTGTTAAAAAAGAGGCTACATAACTTGACGCCCAACTTATGGGGCTCGAGTGTCTTAAAAAAAAATCTGAAAATTATAACAACGGTCTCTACTTGTTCTCTAGTTTCTTGGACTAAATTATTGGGGAAGTCCTCAGAGGAATAGTCCGAGTTGGGTCCCAATTCTAGCAGGTATATTTAATTATGGTCGAGTTAGGTCCGGCCTAGGGCCTAATTGGGTCCACAATAATATCCAAATAATTGAATAAAACTGAATTTTAATAGGACAATGTTGCCGATTTAGGATGGTTTCTTAGATTTCATGGTAGGTGCCCCAAGTAATTAATTGGAAGTTCGGGAGGGTGCTATTACAGGTATATTTCTTATTGTTATAAAGTTGGTACCCCATGGTTATTAAGTTCACTCGCTAATTAAATTCGTTTGTTGTTAATTGAGCTGTTTAAAGTGTTGTTAGTGAGAGCAGATAAGTTAGACAAATGGAATGCACGCTACTTTCAAGTGAGAAAGGAAAATCGCTGTTACTGATCAACGGGTACAAATTTTGCTTCCAAAAAGATTTGGAAGTTGGTGTAAAAAGGTGGATATGTACATGCAAAAAATAATTTTGCAAAGCCTTTGTGAAAACAACTGGGGAAAACCTCATAATCGAATCAACGTTGGAACATAATCATGAAAAACAACCAAATCATCTCTTAACTCGCCAAGTCTTGTCTCAATCCGTCAAGAGAGCAGCTGTGGATAACCCTACGGAGAAACCCATGAAGCTGATAAGTCAAGAATTATATAAATCCGATCTTGAATCAGTAACAACACATAACATTACCAGATCAAGAAAACATGCTTATCATGCCAGAACATCGATTTTGTGTAAACTTCACAAAAACGTCCAAGAGTTTCAAGAAATGATAGAAGGCAACGAGGTAAAAACAAACCAAAATGAACATTTTCTTTTGCTAAACGACAAAGTTGATCATATTATTATTTTTTCAACGAACACTTAACATAAAATTTCTAACTGGTGTTCTATGTTGGTGGAACCTTTCAATATTGTCCAAAATTTTTTGTAGGTACAACTTTTCACAATTCACGGCTTAAAGAATGGCCATTATACCCCATTAGTATCCCACTATATTTTGTTAGGAATTTAGAAGTGCGGCAACAAGGCCATTTTTTCCCATTTTTTTCTTAGAATCTAAGATATATTCTTCGGTCCCAATTCGGCCCACACCTTTTTAAGGGCAGGTAAGTGGATAAGATTTGGGACCCAACTCGGATGCGTCCAAATTATTATAGCATACTTATGCCTATCTACCATTGTTCTTTCAATTGGTTTACGTAGATGACTATTTTTTACCTGCACTCTAGTTTTTGAATTTTTTTTAAATTGAAAGTTCAACTTATTATTGAAATAGTCGGGAATCAGCGTACCGAAATTCGATCACGTAAATACTGTGCACTCGAGGATATACTTTTTAAAAAATATGTACAATATGGAGAATGACCTTGCGGATGAAAATCCGGAGGGCTCCATTTAATTCGTAATTGCAATTAAGAATAAAAAAATATTTTTATGTCATACCAATACATTATTGTGTTTTTATACCTTAGATACCATCTACATAATTCATTACTTTATGCCCGTGCGGGCATAAAGTACACATTATGGCCCGCGCGGGCATAAAGACGCAAAAAACAAGTTTTCAATTAACTGATTCTTTATTGACAAAATATAAATTTACGCTTATAAACATATTATTTTTGTCAAAAAATTATGATGTTTGCACATTGATGACAATTTGCGAAGTGACACTTTTTTCCCAGGTATTTATTATTCACAACCAACTGGTATAACATAAAAGTTTGTATGCACCACGGGTACTAATAGATATATATACCCTCGGGCGACTTACGAACCCTCGGGCCAGAGGCCCTCGGCTTTGTAAGACTGTCGCCCTCAGGGCATAATCATCTACTTAGTACCCTTGATACATAAATATCTATTCGACTTTTTTGAATTATTCGAAAAATAATATTTTTTGTGTTTAACTCGCGATTGTGAAGCTATTTTTCAATATTTTTCCAAAATTCTTGCACCAAATGAAAGCCTAGTCATTGTAGAGTTCAACTGTATATGCAAAAAATTATTTTTCATTAAACTGAATTTACCAGATTACGTAAAAGGAGTTGCGGTACCAAAACTGAAGTCAAAAAGGTTTATTACCCTTTCAGCAAAAAGAGCTGAACAGCTCCTAAGCATGAGCAGACCAGACATCAGATTGGTGGTGGGACTGCTCACAGGACACTGCCCAGTAAAATACCATTTAAGGTAAATGGACAGAGCAGAGGACGATCTCTGCAGATTCTGCTCAGACGCAATAGAAACCGCAGAGCACCTGCTCTGCGAATATCCAGCCCAATTCTGCAAGAGGCTCAAATTCCTCGAGGGGGCAACACTGTCACCAGAAGAAGTGGGCCAACTGACACCCAGGAAAATATCTTCCTTCGGCAGAAGTCTACGCTTCCTGGAGACAAATTAAGATGTAGAGTCACGCACAAAATATCTGCAAAGGTAGCAGTGCTGAGCGGCTGAAAAGCCGAAACGACTCCCCCGAAATCTACAATCTACAATCTTCCAAAACTGAAGTGTAAATTTCAGCATCGAGAAAATTTTTGAACGGTTAAAGATAGATATATGATCAATCGACGAAAAATGTGCCTAAATGAGTGAGGAAGTTTTTGGTGAAAAGAGATTTCGACTAGTGATAACGGTTTCCGAGATATGATTTTTTTTTGAAACGATGCGCACCAGCCGCTGCCACATTGATCTCAACGGACGCCTTGCGACAGTACATTTATTTATTCTATAAGGACAGAAATTACTATAAAACCTAATTAGGTAATAGTTATTTGTGTACCAAGGCCGTAAAGTTGATCTTTTTTGCGGCCGAGGCGTAGCCGAGGCCAAGCAAATTTCAGGTGAGGCCAAAAAAGATCATTCGGCCGAGGTGCACACAAAATTTTTTAGGCGAGTGTTTTTTCTTGAAAAAAGACGGAAATTCAACAGGAGCTTTAACTTTTTATTGATTAGATAAATAATCCAGCAAAGATAGGTAGATACATAATTATTAGTAACAAAAACTACAATAAAGGAAGTGTGATTATAGAAAATTGCCGACTTTTTCGCATGGTATCCTATATTGTGCTTTTTTGAAAAAGTAATAGGATAGGGCTAAAATCAAAAATTTGGTTCCATTGTGGTTGCTAACTATTTATTGGTTGTGTTTATAGTTACGGACCGCGTTTCCGATTGTCTGTTTATATATTTTCACCAAAGTATATAGCGGCCGTAAAGTAAAAGCGGCCGTAAAGTAAAAGCGGCCGTAAAGTAAAAGCGGCCGTGAAGTAAAAGCGGCCGTAAAGTAATAAAGCAAATGCGGCCGTGAAGTAAATGCGGCCGTAAAGTAAATGCGGCCAAAAAAGATATACTTTAGGGATGATATTGAATCCGTAAAACTAATCTTTTTGTGACAGTCGCCTAAAAAGTATGTTTTTTTTTAAAGATAAACGTCAAAATGACATTATGTTGGCAATACAATGTAAAATTGTCAATGCTCTCAAATTTTTTATGTGGAAAAGGCTTGTGTTGCCAACATAGTTACTAAATTTATGACTTAGGGAATTATCTTTAAAAAAAAGAACAGGCTTTAACTAAAACTTACTTAATTTTAATTTAAATAAAACCCGCCTCCAGAATAGCAACCTCTTATTCCATCCAGCCCTGCTTTTAAACAACTACCTACAGTTTAGTTTTTAGTGCATATCTGGAGTTTGTATTTGCGGCACCATTTTCGAATCTTACATCGATACCTACCTATGGATACTTATTGTAGTTAATTTTATTATCTTTCAGATACCAACCAAAGTTGGGAATTTCTGGATTTATTAAAATCGCACTTTTTCACACAATTATTTCATAGGCAGTTCTTTCTTAATAGTAGGCACATGCTGATTTTGCTAATGAAATGCATTCTCTGTGGGTGGTAAATTCCTTATATCAGATTTATAGGTATGAAATAGATGTGCGCATGACATATTGTTTATTTGAAACGCCTGTAAATGATGGTCTACCATACAAAATTTTGAAAAAATATCTAGCTGCGTTTTCGAAACTCATTAAATTATTGTAGTAGAGAAATCTAGAAGTGTCTTTATAGTACGGGATACGAGGCCTATTTCATCAAATCATTTTACACCGTCTTGCATTGTAATCATCAGTTAAATAACATGGTACTGAAACGCACTTGTGCAGGGAAATAGATTGGAGTGGGGGATTTCGCTGAAAAAAATGTTTCAGAAAATGTCATCATAAACGAAAAAAATATTTAATTATACACCGTCTTGCATTTATTTATTGAGTTAATTTGTACACAAACAAAATTGGATTAACACATGCAAGACGTTTTCATGGGGGTTTTGGGGTTGTAATATAAAATACAATTGTCAATTTTTGAGAGGGGTGAAATATCATTTTACACCACTCCATTATTGATTTATATCAAATCATGTAGAATAGCCACTGGATACTGATACAAGACGTCCTGTAGAGGGATAACGGGCTGCAAGATGGATGTCAATGTTGTCTCATGAGGGAGTGAAAAATTATTTTATACCACTTCATGCTTATGTCCGCCGAAAGAATCTATGTTAAGAAATGGTATTACATCAGTCCAAGACGTTTTTTCGGAGAAAAAACTTCAAAAATCCATTTTTTTTTTGACTGAACTGTTGAGTTATTTACTGAACCGTTCAATGTTTATTCTTTTTTAAATCATAAAAATGAAAAAGGACAGTTGACATAGGGGAGTCTATTGAATACAGGAATTATAATTTCTATTTCCAATTTCAGACAGATCATTTATTGTGTAATTTTTTTGCTGCTTTAAAATCAAATTCTTCAAATTTTATGCTTACAATCTGTTATGTGTTATGGGATATCCATCTCAAAGAGAACGTAAATGATTAAAAGCCGTCAGACAAAGAACAATTTTCAATCTTTTTTTATTTGATGTCCGTAGAGACATTCAAATATTCATGTTATTAAGAAAATTTTGCAAAATAGAAACATTCTACTTGGTAAAGAGCAAAAATATTTAAAATTAATGTGCGTAATTTGTAATTTGGAGTAGTATTCACCTTTGTACCTGAAGGATTGACCCCCGTCAAAATTAGTAAACTTCATCATCGTCTTGCAGTCCTTTCTTCCCATCTAGAACGTCTTGTATTTTCAAAAATGTTATCAATGTGTTCCATTTTTCCCATGAGTACCAGTGCAAGACGGTGTAAAATGATTTCTCCCTCCCTCATAAAATAACACATTGACCTCCGTCTTGCAGCCCGTTATTCCCTCATAGGACGTCTTGCATCAGTATCCAATGGCTATTCTACATTCAAGCTTTAATATAAATCAAAAATTGAGTGGTGTGAAATGATTTTTCACCCCTTTGAAAAATTAACAATTTCTATCTAATATTACAACCCGAAAACCCCCATGAAAATGTCTTGCATAGGGTATTTCAATTTTGTTTGTGTACAAATTAACTTAATAAGTAAATGCAAGACGGTGTAAAATTATATATTCTCCTCGATTATAACGACATTTTCTCAAAAATTTTTGTCAGCGAAATTCCCCACTCCCATATATTTCACTGCGCAAGTGCGTTTCAGCATTATGTTATCTAACTGATGATAACAATGCAAGACGGTGTAAAATGATTTGATGAAATAGGCCTCGTATCCCGTACTATTAATTCTATATCGTAACTCAACTCCATTCGAACAAGATTTATCCGTAGATAATTCTTTTATGATGTGGTGCACAGGTATTATGTGTCAAATTTGTGTAGCCATAATTCCTGAATGG